TTGCTACCGCACGAGGCCCCCCTGGCGCTGGGGAGGCACGGCGACCTGGACGTGCTGCTGCAGAAGCAGGGGCTGGATGAGGGCGACCGCGCGCGCATGCAGGGCGTGGAAGCGAAGCTGGGCAGCCCCGCGGTGGCCATCGGCCTGTGGCAGGACGGGCCCCCCGCCAAGTGGGGCAGATCTGCGTCGGTCCAAGTCCTCAGCATGAACTTGCCTGGCCTTGGCCCCGACGGACCCTGCGGCGACTTGAGAATCCCATTGTTCAGCATTTTGAAGAGCACTTGTCCACGAACACCTGGCGCGACATCTTCGGCATCACACAATGGAGTTCTCTGTCTTTGTGGAGAGGCTTCTGCCCGCGAGAGCGGCGCGACAAGACGCCGTTCTCGCGCCCCTCGGATAAAGCTCAACAAGCGTGGGCCGACCTCAGGGCCCTCGAGGGCCCCCCCATGCCAGCCCGCGGTGCCCTGGTGCAGTTTCGCGCGGGTTGGAAAGCGTGGAAAGAAGTTTTTTCTTTCCCCGCCTGGAACGAGGGCTCTGGGTGCTGCTGGAAGTGCAACATTCTCCCGGGGGAGGCGACTGGCCCCGCGCAAACACGGAGGGGGGAGGAGGAGGGGGAGGGGGAAGAGGAGGGGGGGGGGGGGGCAGGAGAAGGATTTCATGGTTGCACCTTGCTTTGTTTCTGTGTTCCCTGCTTCCGCCCCGCTCTCCTTTGCGCGCCCCCCAGGTGGCGACGCAGACGTCGACGAGTTCTCGGTGGGCGAGGCCAACGAGCAGGCGCTCGCTGCTGTACGTGATCGCCATCGTCCTGCGCAACGGAGGCCGCGTCTCGCCTGCGCTGAGTATCCCTGGCGTCGCGATCGACGTGTTCAAGGTCGACTGGTTGCGCGCCGTGGACCGAGGGGTCGGGGCGGACTTCGTGGGGGCCTTGCTCTGGCACATCACGGAGAAGCTCCCAGGGCGCCGCCGCGCGCAACAGAGCGACGAGATGTGGGGGCTCATCCAGGCGCACTACGACGCGCGCTCGACGCCCGACCGCCTCCACGACTTCAACGAGCGCACGGTGAAGCCCAAGACAGCGTGCCCGAAGTTCCGCGGCCAGGCGGCCATCCTGAGGCATCTGATCTCATTCTGCAAGGAAGCGGCCGAGACGCATTGCGTTTCTGGGAGTGCCGTGGGCGACGCCGCGCTGAACGCTACGCGCCACTTGCACTCCTGCTGCCGCACGTTGAGCGGCCAGTGCATCTTCAGAAAGGATCTGATGCGCGACTCCGCCAGCAGGTTCGTGACCTTGTTTGCTTCTCTTGCTGCGCTGCGGCCGAGGAATTGGCGCGTCAAGTCGAAGGCGCACCTGCTCCTCGAGATGGCCTTCGCGGGAGGGCAGCCGTCGCTGTGCTGGGCCGACAGGGGCGAGGACTTCGGGGGCAGCGTGGGCCACGTGGCGAAGAGGCGCGGCCCCCCGCTCTCAGCGACGGGCTTCTCCCGAGCGGTGATCGCGCGCCACCGTATGCAGCCGATGGCGCGGCTCGTGTGACTGCCGCGCGCGCGGGCGCATAAAGTGCACGCGCCACAGCGCCGCGGAGGAGCGGCGCCTCCTGCTCCACCAGTGCGCGCGCGCCCTCTTCAGGAGATCACACCTCCTTTTTTCGAATGCTATGCCGTGTTGGAGCATGCGTCGACGCTGATCGTCGCTAAAATTTAGCGTCGACGCTAAATTTTAAGGATGATAACTTTAAGGCCGACTACTAAATCAGCAGCTGCACTAAATAAACATAGATGAATCTACATGGTATAGCCCTGTAGCCCAATGGCGCAATAGCCCTATAGCCCTACAACTCTGTAGCCCAATAGCTCTATAGCCCTATAGCTCAGTGGCCCTATAGCCCCCTAGCCCTATAGCCCTGATTGGTGTTTTTCTCCAGTATCATATGGTTAGGTTTGGTTTGTCGCCGATTTTCGCTGCGCGCCCGGTGCCCGGGTGCCCAGGGGCGCCCTGGGCCCGGATGCCCGGGGGGTGCCCGGAGGTGCCCGGGTGCCCGGGTGCCCGGGCGTGCCCGGGGGTGCCCGGGGGTGCCCGGGGGTGCCCTATAGCCCTATAGCCCTAAGCCCTATAGCCGTATAGCCCTATAGCCCAATAGCCCGGCAGCCCTATAGTCCTACATTTCTATAGCCCTATAGCTCTATAGCCCTATAACTCAATAGCCCTGTAGCCCTATAGCCCCCTAGCCCTATAGCCCTGAATGGGCTTTTCTCCGGTATCATATGTATATCTGTGTGCATGTGTGTATACATGTATGCATGCATGCATGCATGCATGCACGCACGCACGCACCCATGCATGTATGTATGCGTGAA